TTGATTTCACAATTTGTTCTGTTCTGTTAATTTTTTTCAAGTCGAGCAATCTCGATTGTAAACGTCCAATTCTTTTTGTTTTCTCTTACGTGGCATTTTTTTTTGAGGGGTATAGTGCCTTATTTCAAGTTCAGAAGTTTTATTTAGTCGTTCAAGTTCATCCGAAAGAAATTTATACTTCTTTTTAAAAGAATCTGGAACTTCTCTCCAAATATTGGAGATGTTTTTGAGGAAATCATCAAATTGATGTTCTTTTGTTTTTTTTTTAATTTCTTTTTTTAAATCATTTTGAAAAAGAAAGAAATTATTTAATTTTTTGCCCTTGTGTTTTGACAAAATTTCATCTAGAGTAGAAATGGTAATTTCAATATAGATATTATTCGGTCCAAGTATCAAAAAACTTTCTACATCTTTAGGAAAAATAACGAACATTTTAAAACATTTTATTTTCCCCCCAATACAAGGTTTTTGTATATTTATAATATAAATGGTGTAATGTTATGTTACATTAATTTCTTTAAAAGTAAATCTGAAATACATCCAACTTTATTAAAGACCGCATATACCTACGATTACCTAATGTGTTAATGATATGTTCTGTCTCTTTTTTTGGTGATACAAAATTAATTTTTTAATAGCTACAATATCCTTTCACCGAAAACTACCTTTAGCTAGAAACCGGGTCATACCCGATTCCATAAAGGGTATTATCCGGTTAGCTATAATCCGGATAAATCGGGATACAAATATTTAAAATAAAAGTTTTGGCTTTTTTATTGAATAAAGATTTATTGATAACATTAACACTAAACTTTATTGTACTAGGGTGCTTGCCTTATTTATATGAGTTCTCGTTTATTAGTTTATTAAGAATTTCTCAAAAAGTTTTTTGATGTGCATTTAAAAGTTTTTATTTTCCAAAATTTTTAAAATTAAATAAAAAAGCTGATAGAAACATCGCATGATTAACTTATTTGACTATTATACTAAAAAAAAAAGAATGATATGACGTACTAAATGAACTTTATCGAAAACTTGTAAAATGATAAATTAATCGCGGTATATTTATTTTTATTAAAAAATTCTAATAAGTAAATTAAAGCAAATATTGCAATTTTGTTAACATTAAGAAACTATTTCCATTTAAGTAACCAAAGTATTACAAAGAAATATTATCGATTTTCCCGATTATTAAAACTAATAAATGTGATTTTGGTAAATGTAATGTGCTCGCTGAGATTATTAATGTGTTCCACAAATAATATTTTGTATTTATAATTAGTTTTTTGTTTTCTTTAGGCAGAAAGGGCGCAGTTAATTTTCGGTAAAATTGGTGTTGTCGGGTTTTAGTGAAAGTGGATTCGACAAAATGGGTGTCGGCTAAAAAGACGTACAAAGTTTTTAATTAGTTTTACATTATATTCCGAAAATTCTATGAATATCGACAAGGTTCGGTAAAATAACTTTCTTCTTACGTTAAAAAATGGGAATCCTATTAGATCTATTTCTCACAACAGGGAATCCAAAGTAATCCATAGGTTCATCTTCAATTTATCATATTGAAAAAATTGTCTTACCGTAATGGTAAATATCATTCCAACAATTAAAATGTTTTATTCGAATGCTATAATTTAATAAAAAAATAAATGAAAGGTTTTATATTATCGTCCAACCAAATCTTTTTCCTCCCCACGTGACTTATTCAATTTGTCACATCGTCTTACAGGAAATTATTGTCACCGGAAAAATTTTGCTTTGCTTATAAGCGATACTGGGGTTTTAAACTATTGGCATGTGGAAACACTAACGATATTTTAATTCTTTTTTACTTACTCCTATGCATTCGTCTTTTATCAGATAAAATTTAATGCTTGAAATATTTTTAATATAAATTAATATTAAAAAAAAATGTTAAATGTCCAAAACTAAGTATGATTAAACATTTTGATATTTTGAATATTTTCTATAAGGTCGAAATTCGATTCCAGACACACCACCATTCTTCAGCACTTTCTGATATTGTTAGCTGCACCACCTAATTCATCAATTGAGATCTGCACAAGCTGCGATCTCGGGTTTTAACAAAATATAATATATCTCGCTCAAATTTTTCGAAAGAAGTTTATGCTTCTTTTTAATAGATTTTGAAATTTCTTCCAAATGTTAGGCATGTTTTTGAAGGAAACATCAGAATGTGCTCTTTTCTTAATTTCTTTCATTAAATCATTTTGAAAGAATAAGAAGGACATTACATTTTTTTTTGTAGCTTTTATATTAAAATATATCATCTGGCTAAGAAAATCTTAACTTCGATGTATTTATTATTGTTTTCAAGTATTGCAAAAGTATTTTCAGTTAAAGGAGTTATTTTAAAGGGCATTGTATTTTCCCTAAAGGAAATCATTTTACGAGTTGGCTAAATGACCTATTTTTTTTTTATAATGACGTATTAGGTGTAACATTCGATCAAAAATTTCACTTTAGATAATTACTAATTTTGAAAAATAGAGCTATCTTCATAGCCAAAAAAATTTAACTACTATTATAAGGTGTCTATTTCTTTCCTTTACCTTTTTAAGAATTAATAGTCACAAAAAAATTTGATTGTTTTGGCATATGTACATACGCATGCACCGGATGGCTACTTACATATATTTCAACGATAGTTGTCATCTTTTTTCCACAGAATTACGCTGATTGGCTAAAATCATTGATAGAATATACCGGTAAAATGAGATTATTCAAGCACTTTATTGATGTCCCTGGAGTAGATTGAGTAGTTGTCCATTTATTCTTTTTATTTATTTTCATATGTTTATCTAACGATATCGTAAAAGAGGAGCTGCTCAAGTATTCATTGCGATCCTTATTTAAATTGACCATAGCCATGAGCATCACTAGCCAATTACATTTGAGGAAGATGCTTGAGAACGCTCTATCTTATTATTAAGTTTGTATAAGGATGAAAATACATTTGATACTGACATTCAAATTGTTTCCACATTCTAATGGTCGGTGTTGATAGGAGGTTTCATTAGTATGCGTCAAGTATATGGAACGGTCGAATCGTTTGGTCAGTACGAGCCACATATATTTTGTCAGAATTTTTTTTGGCTTTAATGAAACTGCCATGATACGAACTTTTACGAAAAGTGAGCAAGTATATTTATTCAATTCAAATTGATAAAAGAACAAAAATAAAAATATTTGAAACTTGTAATTTGCAAAATTATATATTTGTAAATAAAAAATTTTTTTAATAGAGGTTGCGAACCGGTTGGTTTTCGAAACCGGTTTTAGGCCTAGATTTAACAGTTTTATTTGTATTACAATAGTTAATTTATTTGAATTATTAAATAAATTGTTTTCAATGACGCAAAACTACCATTAAGCAAGCGGCAAATAGCATATGTAATAATTATTTCACGGGAAACTGTGGATATCAATGATTTTCACGGCGCAACCGTGACTCCCTGAAATAATTGTTTTATATACAGTGGTGAACAAAATTTTTTGGAAAATTTCACGTGACTAATTATGTAAATGATCAACAAAAATTGACCAATAAAATTTGAAACACATTTAAATTAAACTTTGTATACTCTTGTAACACATCCCTTTCTCACGACTCTCGAAGAAATGATGGGTAATAATTAGAGGTTTCAGCAGGATAATGATCCTAAACACACGAGTTGTTTAGCAAAAAATTTCCTTCAAGAGAATGTTCCAGTTGTAATTGACTGGCCATCTAACAGTCCCGATATTAACCCAATTGAAAACTTATGGGGGATTGTTAAAAGAAATGTAGAGAAAAGAAAACCAAAAAATTTGGACGATTTGGAGGAGTTTATAGTTGAGGAATGGGATTTAATTTCAGAAGACATTATAAATAATTTATCAGGGTCAAATGAAAGAAAGATGTGAAGAAATTATTAGGTTAAAAGGAGAAAGAATAGGCTTTTAATTGTATAATTATAAACTTGTATTATTAAGTTATTAAATAAATAAAACCATTTCGCGTTATAATCACTAATCATTGCGTAAAGTCTCGTGACTTTTTCCAAAAAATTTTGCTCTCCACTGTATATAAAACAATTATTTATTTCGTGTTGTATTGTAAAATTATGAAAAGGTCCAATGAACCAATATAAAAATACTAAAATATACAAATATGCATGTAAATATACAAAATATAAATAAAAATATTTAATATCCAACCGAAAATTTGTTAAACTAGACCACTTCCATATACAAATATTAAATAGTATCCTAAAGAAAAAAAGAAACAAATACCAAAAGAAACAGTTAAAAAAAGGAAAAGAATAGAAAAAAATAGTTTGAAATAAAAAACATCTTAATGCATGCATAACGATAATTACACAATAAATTTTCTTATAACAAGCTAACTAAAACAATCAAAATGAGGCTGATGGATGTGGCTGATATGGATCTTCCCCAGTATCGCCACAAAATTTCCACACCCATGTCACCTCGCATCACACCCATCAACTTTTCATTTTTTGGAACTTAGAATTTTTTCGGTAAGTGAAATACTATTTGTCACGCCATTATTTGTCATACAGTTAATTTCTTAATGCCGTAATGCTGGCCAATAAGTCACATGGGGGGGTAAATGCGATGTAAACTTTCCACGTGACTATACTTACAGTATAAATAAATAAATAAATAAATATCTTTTTTATTTTTCTTCACTAAACTAAAATGTTCACCGTTGTTCATTCAGATAGAAAAACTTTCTTAATTCTTGGTCCGAATGGATATTACCTCGAAATCACGATTTCAGATGATAGAAATCGTATTGGAAATTTTAATGCATTTTCTCTTTTTCAAGATGATTTGGAAAAGGAAATTGAAATAAAATCTTATCCGTCTCATTTTGATAATTTCTTCAAAAACATCGGCGTTATTTGGGAATACGCTCCGAAATCCATTAAGAAGGAATACAAACTACTCTCGGACGAACTTGAACGAAAATTTTCGAATCTTGAAATAAAAAGTCGGTACGTATGAACCTTGGCACGGGCATAAAAAATTATAGACATTCTTTCTCAAAGCTCAATACATGCTCTTTATGTAATTTGGCAGGGAACTTATGGTAACTAGTCCTAAGAAAAAGTTGAGCCATGAAGTAGATGATGGAACTTCTTCCTCAAAGCATGAAGGAAACATTAGAGAAAATAAAAATGTTTCTTATATGGATTCGGGCGATGGTCTTGTTCAATTTCCGCATATCTATTCGGTTTCCACATCCGCAATTTAGAACTATATTAGTTTGTTAGTTTGTTAGTTATTCAGCTCAATTTATTCATCATTTTCTTTTTATTCAGATTCTTTTTTCTTTTATTTTTATTATTAAAAAGAAAGTAAAATTTCGCAGTATTTATTTTATTATTTATTATTTTGTTTTTAAATAAATGTTCTTTTTTTTGACTTTTATTTTTTTTTTTTTATCATAAAAAATTTGGTTTGAGCGCCAAAAAAGTAAATCGTAAGAATAATTATTATATAGTAAGTTGATATATACCTAATATGGTAAATGTAGGTCTATATGTGTCTAAAATAAAATACTAATGATTACCATTTCCTTGTTATTGACTTTTTTGGTTAGGATGTAAATCTTTTATAAAATGTTCATAATTCGTGTTTTTTGATCCTGATTAAACATCACGATTTAAAAAAAAAAAACGAAAATGCCAACTTACAAATGCAATGTATCTAGAATCGACGAAGAATTGAACATCATAGTCCTTTATCCCGAAAGAAGTAAATATTTAAGGTGGAAATTACCTAACGTCGTACATTTAATTCAGCAGGATCTTAAAATCAACAATTCGTTTGATATCTTTCAATTGGACTGCGCTTCTAAAATTCGTGAAGCGCATCAATTTATTCTAGAGGAAACTGAAGTAGAAATTCGTAAAGCAACCGCTGCTATTTGGAAAAGTGCAGAAGAAGGTGTAAAAACTGAATATTACAAAATTAACATGGAATATAAAAAAGCTTACGAACAACGCAACGGTAACTTGATATTTTAAAAAAAGTTTTCAATTTTAATTATTTTATTCACTTTACAAATTGTGCTTAATTCTTAAATTTTCCTACAATTCTCTAATTTGTTGTTTAACATATTTACTTATTATTGATTTTTGTTTTAGAAAAATTGGTCGATGCTGTAGCAGCTGTTGGGTAATTATATTCTCAATTTTTGCCAATATTTGTTGTGGTTTAAATAATAATAATAATTTATATTATTATTTTATTATTAACAGGAACACATTGTATAACAACATAAAAAACGAATTCACAAAGTACTGATTTTATTATATTTTTTTCCATTTTTTTATATGTTGTTAATTAAACACAGAATAATTATTGATTTTCTTTTATTATCTCTTAAAAGTTGTTTTACTATCGAATTATTCAACGATGCCATTATATATATTATTCTGAGGAGTCTCGGAACAATAGCTTATAATTTCGGTAAATTTAACGACGACGGTATTGTTGAAAATGTTAGAAAAACAGAAGAGAAGTTAGAAAGTGATGGTTTGGGCTTTGACTCACTCGGTTGGCTTGAACTAATTGAGCATACGAATTTTGAAAATGCCTTTGTCGACATCCTTGATAGAAATGATATAAAAACGGAACAGGATTTGGACGTACTCGTTTTGCTTTTTCTGGGAAATAGATAAACTTTACAAACAAACAGACAAAATTAAACACATATTATTTAATGAATTTTTGAGAAATTCATTTTCTTATTTTCATGTCTAATCAATTTTTGAAGATTGATGAAGTCATGAAAAATTATACATTTTTTTTCTAAGGAAAAAAAAAAAAAAAAAAAAAAAAAAAAAAAAAAAAAAAAAAAAAAAAAAAAAAAAAAAAAAAAAAAAAAAAAA